TCAAAAATTCACGACTGAGCTAAAAACCTTCAAGGAGATGATGTGAAACAGCAGCACATTTTATACACAGTGAATTTTCTGTGTAATTCAATGAAAAAGGGACCTCTTTACTCACTGAGTCAAATACACATTTTAAGTTTTTCTTCAGAAGCAAAATTTTTTTCTCTCATTATGGTTCATTAGCTATGTTTACATGCGCAAAATTCTTTGACCGGATTGAAATCTTTTCAGATTAAATAGTTCAAATGTATCGTTTATGTGGGCACAATCCGTTCACGACGAGCGTTTATATGCAGCGCACTTTTATTCTGAACAGAAGTACTGACATGCGCAGAGTGGTACACTCTTCTTAAAAACACCACAGAAGAAGTAGTTCTGGTTTACTTCCGGGATGAACGTAAACAAAGCTGAACTGGACCCATGACCGGTTTTAATGACTGTGGAGACGTTACTGCACTCCCTGACTGAGCTACAGGTAATACAGATCATTTTGAGCTCTTTCAAAGTTTCTAGTAGAAATGTTGTCGCTCACCGACCAGTTTTGATTCTCCGAAATGCTAATATTATTAGCATTAGCCAGGTGGAAATGAGATAGGTCACACACAATCAAAAAAAAATTACAGATTAAGTGTTTACATGCACACCTTTCAGATTTTGAATCGGCATAAAACACCCGTCTTCCGATTACGAATTCTTTCGGATCGAGCTGAATAAAGAAAAAATAATCCAAATGGGGCGTTTGCAGGACACGTTTTTATTCCAAATGGCCGTTTAATCCGATTACTTATGTCCATGTAAACATAGCTAGTGACAAAGTGCTTATCACCCAAAAACAATAAAAAAAATTATTTCTGATAATTAGAAGGAACAAAAAGAAACATGTAACTTTTACTGATAAATGAATACTCCCAGACAATTTTTAGGTCGTCCTCTACTATCAACACCTCTCCCATAAAATATGTGGTTTAACAACCTGATTTTAATATTATTAGTATACTCTATTATTAAAGCAAACTGCATTACTCAGATAATTATTTCTAATAGTCTTCCTTGGAGTGAATTTATGGCCGAGATGTTTTGTTGGATCCAAGTGTAACATTTGAAGCTGTTTTTCTACACTGACTAGTGAGCATTTGTACACATTAAATACTCTTTAATTGCTAATCACCTGGAGTAATTCTGCTCAGTGTGTACCCCCAAAAAGAAAGGCTTTTGGGATGCGATGAGGTATTTTTCCCAAAACGAGGATCACAGTGATGTCTCATCGCTCTGGGCCTGCACTGTGTCATAAATGGTGCAATTTAAGAAAATGTGTTATGCAACTCATTTTTCTGAATTCGATGTATATTTAGAAAGACTGAGCTGATCACACATTATGCATTATTATACATGCATAAATCAAATGAGTGGTTTTTACGAGCTCATGTTTCACTGAGTGTTTTGCTTGCTGTGATTATTTTTGACTTTAAGATATTCAGCAAAGACTTCCAGTGTAAATAAAGGTGGACAAAATGATTTTTATTTTCTGTTTTTCATTTTGTTATTCTGAGATGTGCTTTTGCTCTTCAGTCTCACACCTGATAAAACGAACAGTGCAACAATAATCTAGCTTTATGGGAAATAAACATATGGCCTTATTATTAGCATTTAGCAGAAGAGTAGGAGCAAAAATGTGATGTTTGAGCTAGATGTGTTACTCCTTTATCTTGATGGGAGTCATTTTCTTTTCCACCATGGTGATTGCGCTGGCTTTGTGACGGTAACAATGAAGTGTGACTTTCACATGTTGTTGACGGCGTGAGTAGAAGGCTGGAGGGATAGTTGTAAGAGGTTGTGTTGTGGGGCCGTAATTGTGAACTATTACAAAGCATTGTATTTGCCAGGAAGAGCATTGATCTCAAAATGATTCTCTTTCTTTATGGCTGGCAACAGGAGACATGCCTCCCTTTATGGCTATTTCTCAAGGTTCAAAGATACTAGTTTGTTTTGTTGTTTTTGATTTTAAGTTGCAAATTTGACTTTTAGAAGAAGATCGTAAAGAATTGTCAGTGATTTTTTTTACATCCAATGTGGCTCAGAGGCAGGCTATTTGCTCTGCATCATTTGTTTTCCTGGCATCTGTCTTCTGTATAGACCGGCATTTGCTATCTTTTGCTTTTGTCAGTACTTTGCCATTTAAGTCTAGATCCCTGAGAGCTATTGTTTTACCACAAAGCTACAAAGGGAGAGAGAGAGAAGGTGGTGCTGCACAGCCAGGACACCATCATCCGGTTGGTTCACAACAGGGACTCTTTTGCCAGCTTTTATCTGACTGAGCTCCCACATCTGCTTTCCATTATAAGCTGAGGAAAAGTTCCTAATGGGGAACAGGAATACATAGTTTTTCCATCAGAGGAGAAACATGGAACTAAGGTGCCACATAGATCAGCGTGACTGCTACTAACTGGCCTGTCACAGGGTGCACTCATCTCTCTGTGACGTGAATAGAGGGATGACTCACTGCTTGCAGTGCAAGGAGGGAGGAAAAAAGAGTGTGCGCATGTGTGTGCGTGCATTTGTTTGTGAGTGCAAGCAAGCATGTATGCTCTTCTGTGCTTGGTTTGGTGTGTTTTGTGCACACATCAGACTATCTCTGTTCACTTTGGCATCTGTGCTGCATGCATTTAATCCCCCTTCTTTAACCTCACGGTGTACTCACAGGACCGAATAACAGCAACACAGATTTGGAATGATCGGGTTTGCATGTGTTTTTCGTGATTTGTTATGTCCCACCCTTAAATTTTGTATTCAGTCATATTTTTAGCAGCTGGAGGTGCGTAATTGCTACGTGATAGGGCATGACAACCTGTTTAATAGAAAGAGTCAATCTTTTAAAATGCAGTTTATAGAGGGCATTTGCTGTTTTTGATATCTGCCTTGAAGGTGAGACCTTTTAGTGAGAAGAACTAATTAGAGTAGCCATTCAGCATTCTTCTGCTCTCTATTTCTTTGCCTTTAGGGAAGATTTTGCATGTGCGTGGACTTGCCTTCCTAAACCAACCCAGAGTCCTCCCCATCTCATCCTTTCCCAGAAATTGCCACAAGATTCAAGATCTGAAGGCTGTATCACTGGAATTTGTTGCC